GGTGTCATATTAGACATATTAACACACAAAATAAAGACCCACAGAGAATTAAAAAATCTGATAAGGATTACTGAATGAGCAAATGAAGACATTCAAAAGGACCTAGTTGCAGCAGTCGACATATTTTAGCAAAAAGAAAAGATAAAAAAAAAGGGTTTGCAAACGTTGATTTATACTTTGTCGTTTACAACAAAATTTAACAAAATTGATCAGCCATTGCTTGCTTATTCTGTGAGCCAATCACATTATGCACTTGACTAGAGCTAGCCAATAGCATTTCTTTAGTCCTATAGATCATGTACGCGTGATATTTGCAAACCTTGACTTTATCAATTTTGAATTTTCCAAATAAGTGTGCTGGAAAAGAAAAGCAACTGGTTTGCCAGTCAAATTTTGGGAATTGTTTCAGTGTCAAATATGATGTGTTTATAAAAAAGCTCAATTGCTTTACAAACTGCTGTTGTATATTGAAACAATATTTTTATTTAGGCAATTAGCTACTTGATGCAGTTGAAAGTGATGATCTATGAGTAAAAATGCTACAAAACCATTCAAAGCTAAAATATATTCTAGCGAGCCTGTTTTGCAACAGCTAAACCAATTTGAATCATGAATGTTTTTTTTTTGTTCTTGAGGTTCATTGTACCGCCAATCACACGATATAAAAGATCAATACTTTGAAACATTATGTATAATTATATGACTTAATTTACCATCTTGACCCTTAGAATCAACTTCAAACGTCCATATCTCCGAAAACTCTTAGTTGTTGAGGTTAACATTTCGTCCCATAGTTGTTCTTTATGCCATGTTTTTTTTGTTTAAGATCAAATTGATGATGATGAATTAGTTATATGCTCAAAATACAAAACTGTATTATTGCCTGTTCACATATAATGAATTAAAGATGGCACTGTCTTCGGATTTTTTTAAGCTTAGCATATTGTATATTAGCTTCCACTACAACTGGCTCAATAATCTTGTATCGGGATTATCAACCATTCTGCAAGCAATGGAGTCAATGATAAGTTAACCTACAGTTGGAGCTTTAATATTTATACGGGCTCTCTCAAAAACCGCTCATCTTCGAAATTAGCCGAAATTCATTCAGAAATAATTCATCCCCAAGGAGCAATAACATTGTAAAAAAAACGTGTATTTTTGTATTTAAGATGAAAGTTAGCTGAGAAAAACATGTTATGCTTCAGCCCATATTTAATTAGTAAATAAAATTACTTCAGGGGATGTTTATATGAGCCTGGTAATCGGGATTAGGCGAGGCGTAAAATGATTTTGAAGTCATTAAAAAGAGCAAAAACTTCAAACGCAAAACTTACAACCATTTCTTAAGCGTCATAAGTTATTTTAGTTGTAATTTTTAAATCAGGCTAAATTATTTGTTTTCATTTTAAAGGTTTTCTGAATTTGCAGATTCAGAGCATAGAGAAATTCCTCAAACAAGTTTTTCGTTGTGAAATATTTAATCTTTTCCATTTGCCAAAATGATTTAACACTTCGCTGAATTCCGGCTACCTTGCTCATGTATTCAGACCCTCGAAACTGAATTGCAATTCGGAAAGAAAAACTTCTAATTAATTAAGTTATACTAACTAATTTAAGTTATACGCCAGTCTGTTTGGCCGCCATGTTGGAAGTCAAATACAAAAGAATATATCCGTGGGCGAACGTTATTGTTTTTTATTGCCCCTTTGATTGATTGAAATTGAAACCAACAATTCTTGAGTTTTGATTCCGCCATGTTGGATCACAAGAATATAATATGATTATCAATGCTATTGCACTACTACGTATCCAATCTTCTTATCTCATCTTAGTATTTACTTGTACAATATAAAATTTTATATGACATATTAACGTCACAGAAAATGTCTAGTTTAAATGGCGAAATTATTTAAATATTTCCCTGAATTAGAAATTTAAAAAGACCTAGTCGAAGAGTTTGACATATTTTAGCGAATTCCATAAGGAAAAATGCTAAAAAAACAATCAAAGATAAAATACATTCTAGTTTACAAAAGTAAAACAAGCTTGCTTGAAAGTTTATTTTTTTGTTCTTGAGGTTACGAAGACAAAAAAGTCAGATTATTCTTTGCAATCTTCATTTGTTCTTCTTTCAGCTTATTTAAGTCATATCCTTGTGTTTATCTCAGTGCTAATGATGCATATGTTTCTTGCCTTTTCATTTTGTCTTTGGTTATGCTTATTTCACTCGTGTGAATCACAAAATCAAATACTCTACTCAACAAATACTTTTTGGTATCTCGAATCACTGGAATTTCTCCTATTTTTGTTCAGCATTTTCACCAATATACACATTATTTTTCTATCCAATAATCCATAAATCAGAGGATTTAGCGAGTGGGAGCCAATAATATGGACGGAAAAAGCAATTTTTAAATTAGTTGAGGCATTTGGTGAAAAAGCGAAGTGGTTTTTAAATTCGTTTGCAGCCAAATAATAAATATGACCGACTGCAAAGCAGAGAACCGTGCAGACGCAAACGAAAAATGTCTTACGATCCTGATTGTGTCTTTGAAGACTTGAGCTGGTGACGGATTTTAGACGAGACTGTGATGCATTAGAAAATGTTCGTAGTGCTTTTCTTTGTTTGCTTAATGTTCTAGCGATTATGGAGTAAGTTACAGTCATGAATATTATTGGCAAAATGTAGAAACAGGCATAAAACGCAGACAATTCGTAAAAGTAACGAAGGCGTTGAGGATTCACACTCTTGAGGATGCACTCTCGAATTGTCATTCCAACAGTCGTAACCAAACCAATGATGTACGCTAAAGCACAAACGATTTTTATCTTCAGTTGACTGAGAGAAAGTTTCAATGGACAAACTATCGCACGATAACGTAGAACGGAAATGAGCATCATGATACAAACTCCGCTTACTTGAAAGAAAACATAAATGTCATTTATACTTAAGCAGTTAAACAATATTAAAGTGCTTTTAAGAAATTTATCCAATATCAAATGGAGAAATATGCTCAACATTGTAAATACGTCACATATCGCAAGATGTAAGACAAGAAAGTAGTAGTTCTTCTTTAACAAAATCTTTCTTCTTAATATCGAAGCGATCACAAGGGTATTTCCAACGATGCCAAATGAAGATATTGCGACAATGAAAAATATAAAAGTTTCCATAGCGATAAGATTGATATATCTAAGCTACTTTCTATGGAGTGCTCTTCTCTCCTATATATTCCACTTTGCAAATGCAATACAGAGCTGTGTGTTCAAGCTTTTCAGTGAGTCTCAAAACTCGATAAAAATTTTGCCTTGTTGCATTTTGTTTCCAACTACATCTGCATTATACGTCAGTATATTGTAATTGTGCTTGAAATGTGCGTTAACATGGACCTATTAAAATTCACAAAAGCTCGTTATAAATTTACATAAGCCAGCGACAAAGAGCGTTATCGCTTTTCGCAGTAATTCCTTTTCCAGCGAATAAACGCCGCATCGCAGCTGTGTCAAGCACATTTTCAAAAACGAAACAAACGCAAAACCAATTAGGTTTGCCATTCTATAGGACGAGAAGTCATAATTGCACTACTAATTTGGACTAAATTAAAGTATTTAAAACTGTCGATGATCTAACGAATCAAACGTTGAAATTGACAAATTTGCGGCAAGACTTTTTTGCAACAATTTAATTCAATGAAGAATTTATCGCTCACGAAAATGTCTCCATATGTAGAGATTTTCGAATATCTTATATTTAAGGTATTCCGTCTCTACAGGGTGTCTCAAAAACTGCTCATGCAGCCGGCGTTTTACAATTAGCATGATTTAGCAGTAATTGACCTCCAAAATATCTTCAAAGGTATTTGAAAACAATAATACATACGAATTGCGACAACTGTTCATTGCAAGTTTCAAGCACGAAGTTCATTGCAAGTTTCAAGCATTCATTTCAATAGCATCTATGCCTCTTTGGGGATTAGAAATTAGCTACTGAATCATGCAAATTCTAAATGTTGGCTGATTTTAAAGATGAGCAGTTCTTCCGAGACGGCTGTAGTTCGCCGAAAATTTTGACGACCATATTCATATATTTGATCGGCGCATTTCACTTGCTGCACCACAGGACATCTAACCTCCTGTTTGTGTTCCTCATACTAAATATTGTCTTGCTGATTGTGTCGGAGATTTACAAAAGAATAAGATAGTTATAAGATAATTTTACGTGTCTAAAAATACATGAAAATAAAACTACGACTTTGGAAATCGACAACGAAGTTCAGTGGAATTATTAGTTATTAATTTCGGTTTGGAAAACGAAAAATGCCGATTTTGGCAGCATTTACACTTTGAGAACTACAAGAACCTTGACTTTTACAAAGATTTTCGGAGACAACACGGAGCACAGCACATTTGCCGCCATTTTGAATTTTTAAAACGTGTCCTTGAATTGGACATCTACTTGCATCGTTCTTATTGAAGCAATGGTTCTTTTACAGAGTTTTCAGTGGTTTTCAATCACACCCCACTATGTAAGCATTACAATTAATGGCTAGCAGGAATTGGGTATGAAGACCGGTAACAAAACTGTTCGTTAAAATTGATCTGACATTCAAAGCCACAAAGCCAAAGTCCTAAGTCATGAGCAAAAATTCGCGCAGGTTAGTGTACCGCGTGACTAAGACCGTCGTCAAGAGTTGTGGATTAGAAAGAGAAATAGAGGACAACAGCTGAATGATTTTATTTGTCCTACACGGTTGTGCAAAAAATTTCTTTGAATGTAATTTCCACGCATTCTAAAAGATCAACTCGAAAACATTTTCTAACAAAAAGCATTTCAACGTGGTAATGACAAAAGCTTTGAAGAGCCCCTCCCACCCCGCCCCCAAAACAATATCAAACTATCATGGATTCATGATGGTGGACGATTCCCCACTAGCCAATCCCTTTCTCCGTAAGACAACGTACGCTACAACAGAAGGTTGTAAACAGAATAAGTTTCCGTTTCAAATAAATTAAACAAGGAATTGATATTTCACTAAAAAGTAGAGTCCTTCATGATTTTTTATATACATATTAAATCATTCTTGGTTTGATAAAGCAGCTAATGATTATACAGAGTTATCATTCAGTGGCGAATCTAGGGTAGATCAACACATTATGCCAATCTACAATTGAAAATACTTCGAAAACGACGTTGTTGGTTAGAAATTTCTAAACATAAAAATAATGCCAACGTGACTCATTGTAAATTATTTTGATTGGAAAAATACTAACAGTAATATAAATTTCGACCTTTCCAGGTTCGGAACTGTTACCACCTTTCCTAGCATTCATTATATTATTTGGCCATTTCGAAGAAATTTCGAAACAGCAGATTTCTAATGCAAAATAGTCTGAGCGAGCTTACAAGTTTTTGGGCAAGTTACAAAATCATAAGAATACTTAGGCCATGTGCGAAGCACGTGCGTTTTATACCCCCTTCACAACCCACACACGTGGATTGTATTACCCAACAAGGATAATTGAATTTTTTCCCTCCTTCAGCTTACATCTGGGGAACTTACGTATCATACTTTTCCCACAGCGGCGACCAGTTCTTTCGCCAAAATTGAATTGATTGTCATTTTTTCGCAATTCACCGTAATCCTACTCTCTTTCCATACTCCTTAAGTTCGACAGTTATCAATACGGGGACCCCGGATGAAGTAGCCGACCCAGAAAACCTATAATAATTTAAGCTGCTATTTCTGGGTAATGCCGCTACACTCGCACAACCCAGGATTTTCGACGCGAGCACGCGTTCCTCGCAGTTCTCCTGCGGGATATCCACAGTCAGAGAGCTTTCATTCATACCCGACAACTTCTCTGTGAACGAAGATAATTTAAGGTAAGTCAATATTTCTGTAATAATTTCATTTTACATGCATTTGTATAAGCAAGATAAAATTTATAACCGCGATACTTACTTTGCAAAGTAAGAAAGTCATTTTCAGTTATCGGCCTCGCGTGAAGCTGTTCTCCCATCGGGCATTTCAACTTGACAGTAAACTTATCGGACTTCGTCGTGCTGTGAAAAGCGAGATCAATTTGAACGCATGATAAAGTTTTGCTGCTAGGTATTCTAAATTATCCTCTTATGTTAAAGCTTGGGTCCTTATATACACCAGTCTAGTGTCTTCATTTGGAGAGATCTGTTGAGTCCTTATGAGTTATCTGATGTTGAAACTTGAGTTCTTATAAACTCCAGTCTAGTGTCCTCATCAGGAGTGACGTAATGTTGAAACTTGAGTTCTTATAAACTCCAGTCTAGTGTTCTCATCAGGAGTGACGTAATGTTGAAACTTGAGTTCTTATAAACTCCAGTCTAGTGTTCTCATCAGGAGTGACGTAATGTTGAAACTTGAGTTCTTATAAACTTCAGTCTAGTGTTCTCATCAGGAGTGACGTAATGTTGAAACTTGAGTTCTTATAAACTCCAGTCTAGTGTTCTCATCAGGAGTGACGTAATGTTGAAACTTGAGTTCTTATAAACTCCAGTCTAGTGTTCTCATCAGGAGTGACGTAATGTTGAAACTTGAGTTCTTATAAACTCCAGTCTAGTGTTCTCATCAGGAGTGACGTAATGTTGAAACTTGAGTTCTTATAAACTCCAGTCTAGTGTCCTCATCAAGAGTGACGTAATGTTGAAACTAGAGTTTATATACTCCAATCGAGTCGAGATATACACATTGACTTGTTTCTTATGCTAAATCCAATGACTTTAACGGATATTATTTTGATGATAATATTTTAATTGATAAAACAGTAACGCGACATACCATATCTCAAAACTAACTGGTTGTATAGTATCCTTAAAATCTATCCCCATGCTCACGGTGACTGTAGAACCAATACCGATCGATTCTAAACAAGAGCAAAGCAACCCCATCCCAATTATTCACAGGTGATTTGCAGGTTAATATTTTTTCTAAGCAGACAACTCACCAATCTTAGGAAAATCGGCTATTTTCAAGCCGAGTCCCACTTTCTAAGACGAGAAAACAAACAGAGTCTCAGTAAGCACATTTCTACTAACGACTATGACTTAGAATGCAATTTACCTTCTCGCCAACGTGAATGTTTTCAACACATGAACTGCCGCTGTTAGTAAAAGTTATTTCAACGGCGACCATCGTAGTCGAATACAGACACGGACTCCGGGGGAACTTGTATTGAGCCTGCAATCCACGACCAGCCATCTTATTGAGCAGTTCATAAGTCCTCAATTGAGAGAAGTCCGTTACGACCTACATGAGAAAGTCGGCTTGAGCATGATTTGATCACGTGTCATGTCATGCGCAATTCAAGTAGGCGATTGGCTGTGTTGCTATTCATCTGTAGCCTTTCATTGTTATCAGTTGAAAAGGACCTCGTCCTTAATCTAGAGCATGCGCATTGAATACTTAACTCATCGATGTACCTTTTGCACAACCGCAGCAACTCCATTCTGTACGACACCAAGGGAAAGTGTTTTCATATCGTCCACCAGCGAGGGAGAAAGAATGTTCTTATGTGCAGGACCATTTAAAACAGGAGCCACAGGAACTATAAAAAATATTAAAGTATTTCGTATAGAGGAAAAAAATCAATCGGATTGGTGATTTCAGTGCCACAAGTTAAGCCGTTAAAGAGTGAGCTTACTATCTTCATCAAACGAAAGCAATTGATCAGTTGTTGGTGGCTTAGAAACTCGTTTATTCTTCGGAGCATCATCGGATTTCTTCGTTTCGACCTCAATATACAAAATATTGTGATTAATTAATTGCAGTTCATATGTGAAAAGCTGAATTATTTCTCGTTTTCAAACAGTGGTATACATATCCTTTGAAAGTGTGCACAGTAATTTATCTCACTTTTTTCGCTGGCGTTTCTTGTTTAGCATCGTCACTCTCCTGTGACGAATCGCTTTCCGAGGACTCGGCGTCGCTATCCGAAGACTCTTCACTCGTTTTCGACTCGATGCTGCTCTGACTTTCTGATTTTTTTCGACTCTTTGCTCTTTCATTCTTTTCCCCTTCGTCGTCGCTCTCTTGGCTTTCTGAAAAGCGAAATTGAATGACAAAAACTGAGGAGGGGGGAGGTATCAGAGGAAAATGAATGGCGCGGACGCTTTTAAACGCATGACGTTTTGCAAGAGATTTTTTTATTTATTTATTCCTTAATAAGTCTATATCACATACTATGGAGTAGACCTATGTTTATCCGACAGGAAGCAAACAGATTTTCCCGGGGTTGCATTAATGTGCTGGCAAAGGTTTCCCGGAGCCCGGGCTTTGCATTGTGAAGTTGTAAATAAGTTAAACCCTTATACTAAGTCTAACTGTTTGTCATTTTCAAGCGCACGATATTATAGTAGCCATTTCAAATTCTGGTGTGAAATACGTACAATAGGGTACATTCTGGTACATTTCCACACTGCACCATCATGTAAAACAAAATGAGGTCTTGTCATGAGTAAACTATGTGACCATACATGCCAAAGACAAGGTCAAACTACGAAAACTTGAGGCGGAAACATTGCTTAAAGTAAATATTTAATCAGAGGAGCCATACAGCAATACACCATTAATGTACCCCACCATTCGTAGGGAAGGGAGGATTGTTTTCTGTCAATACGTATATTGCCCGAGGAGCCATGCAGCAATACACCATTAATGTACCCCACCATTCGTAGGGAAGGGAGGATTGTTTTCTGTCAATACGTATATTGCCTGAGGAGCCATGCGGCAATACACCATTAATGTACCCCACCATTCGTAAGGAAGGGAGGATTGTTTTCTGTCAATACGTATATTGCCCGAGGAGCCATGCAGCAATACACCATTAATGTACCCCACCATTCGTTGGGAAGGGAGGATTGTTTTCTGTCAGAACGCATATTGCCTGAACAGCCATGCAGCAATACACCATCGTTAAAACCCCGGTATTTGTAGGCAAATATTGTGCTGGTAGCGATCTATATTTTCTATGACTGTGAATATAACGGTACCATAGATATCAGTTTTAACAGCATACCACTTGATCTCTTACCTGTTTCCGATCCAGGTAAAGACTCCATGCTAGATTTACTGACGCTCTCGCCGCCTTCATCGCTCTCACTTTCACTTCCGCTGCTTCCACTTGAACCGGAGCCTGTGGGAACACGATGCAAAAATAGGCACGCAGTGCGTACAAAAGGGTAGCCTTGCTTAACACAAATGATTTATTCAGCCAAACTGTGCATATTTGGTTATATACATATAAGCTTGAAGATTGGTAACCCAAGCATTATTGTTGAAATTAAATAAACTTAATTACGCGTCCAGTAGGAAAAGACTTGGGGGAAGAACGCACCTGATTCAGATTCCGACGCAGAGTCGGATTCAGATTCACTCGAGTAAAATGTAGACTTTTTCTTTGATCTTGACTTCGATTTAGATTTCTCCCACAACGGCTCGACCTACATAAACATATCGATAAAATGTTGAATCACACAATCAAAACATAATCATGGGACATGAACGATCACAAACCTCGACGTTTCTAACAGAGGGATCGGGAGGGACCTCGGGGTATTCGGGAAGTTCTTGATAGCCAGACGCTCGTGCGTTTATGAGATGGGAGAGAGAGCCGACGATGAACTCACCATGACCTTATAGAGAAGAACATTAGCTGCATGGATTGACACTAGATACTACAGCATATACAGAGACCTAATAGGCAATGCTTGATCTTTCCTAATAAAGATACTAGACAACTCAAGTTTCAACATCACTACTAATGAAGAGACTAAACTGAGATACATAAAGACTCAGGTTTCAACATCATATCCTTTCTGGAGAGGATACTAGACTAGAATGTAGGACTCAAAATTCAAAATCAAATCACTCCTAATAAAAACACTACACTGAAGAATATATTGGAGTGAAGTCGTAACATCAGATCACTCCTGATAAAGACACTAGACTGCAGTGCATAAGGACTCAAGTTTTAACATCAGATCACTACTAATGAAGACACTAGACTGGAGTGCACAAGGACTCAAGTTTTAAAATCAGATGACTCCAGATGAAGACACTGGACTCAAGCATTTAACAGCCTTGACTGAAGACCTTCCTTCACCTTTGAAAGATGACTCTAACACGGGAGGTGGTTTGGAAGCCAGCAATATCTTCTTGGAGTGTTTAACAATCTGTCCCACCTGAAATACACACGAGAACAAATAAATCGACGCCATTGGAACATGTCATTCGAGTGCTATATTATACATTAAACAAAGTATTCGTAAAAAAAGAACCGCTGTCCAAAACAAACCGAAGTTAATAACTGTAAATCGCATTCTAATGGCAAAAGTTTCTCCATTTACTATTGGTTTGAAGATGCTAAAATCAAACTTTCGATATTATAATAGTTTAAATTTATAGCTCAAAACCAGTGTAGTAAGGAAGTTCATACTTGGTAAATATGGTATACGGTATAATAATGGTAAATAATTTAATTTCGAAACTTTGGACGACGAAGTTCAAATCTCGATTGGTTCATTAAAATTTCTTCAACGCAAAAAAAACAAACAGGAAATATAGATATGTTTCTTATCTAATAAGTGAATGCCTTAGATAAATTATATTAGATAAAATACAACCCAGCCAATGATTGAATATTTGAGATAAAACACAACCTAGCCAATGAGTGAATGTCTTAGATAAAACACAACCTAGCCAATGAGTGAATGTCTTAGATAAAACACAACATAGCCAATGAGTGAATGTTTTAGACAAAATATGACCTAGCTAATGAGTGAATGCTTTAGATAAAACACAACCTAGCCAATGAGTGAATGTTTTAAACAAAATATGACCTAGCTAATGAGTGAATGCTTTAGATAAAACACAACCTAGCCAATGAGTGAATGTTTTAGACAAAATATGACCTAGCTAATGAGTGAATGCTTTAGATAAAACACAACCTAGCCAATGAGTGAATGTTTTAGACAAAATATGACCTAGCCAATGAGTGAATGTTTTAGATAAAACACAACCTAGCCAATGAGTGAATGTTTTAGACAAAATATGACCTAGCCAATGAGTGAATGTTTTAGATAAAACACAACCTAGCCAATGAGTGAATGTTTTAGATAAAACACAGCCTAGCCAATGAGTGAACGTTTGAGATGAAATATAATCTATCCAATAATTCAATGTTTTCGATAAAATATACAATAAAAAAGTTCTAAAATTAAACCTTCTCTCCGGGAAACACAATGGGACGTAAAAATCGCGCTCGATCCCTTATATCGTAGCTCTGGTCATATTTGGCGAGATTTAATACATATTGACACAACTGCTGAGTCTACAGAAAAAGAAGTGGTACGTAGCGTATTAAGTCAAGCTACGACTAGAAGTGTGAAAAAAATAAAAAATATTAACAGTATATTAAGTAATCTCTATTAAATTTATAGCTCAAAACCAGTATAGTAAGTATGGTAAATATGGTATACGGTATAATAATGGTAAATAATTTAATTTCGAAACTTTGGACGACGAAGTTCAAACGAGTATTAAAATTAAAAAATAAAAGATAGTAAGTAAAAAGTAAATGGTTTGAACCCGGGAGTATCGTTACATGTTTATAAATGTAGATCATCCAGGTTAGTATAGTCCTGAGAAGGACTGTTTTGTTGTTGTTGACTGACGTTTCGACAACCTTAGCGGTAGTCATCTTCAGAGTCAAATGAGGAGTAAACGTCAGGTTAGCCGTATTTGTTATCTGGTTCTTACGTCATTGTATTGTGTGTACAGGAAATGTGTGGATGTCAATTGTGTATTACCCAATGTGGATTAGTGTGAAGTTTAATGTTTTTAGTTGATCGTTTGTTTGTATTGTGCACCTTACAAACGATTTATTAATAAGTATAAACGTGTTCAGAAATCAGTTGGTAAAAACTTGAAATTTAAGAAAATTTCTAAGTTTGGAAAGGTTCAAAACACAGTCCAACCTGTATTAAGCGCGCCGTATTAAACGGTGGCCGTATTGTACGAATCCAGACTAGAACCCCTCCCCTTCCTCCTCACCCAACCCAGGAATAGATCTCACCATCATGGATGTATTCCTGAGTTGCTGCCAATATATAAATTGATCACCCTAATTCATAATTATATAGTATTTTCTTCAAGTGGCAAACCTGGTTTGGATTGACTAGAATTAATTTCGCAAATAGATTGATGATTTGTAATTTCACAATATCCTCCTGAAAACAACGGAAAAAACATTGAAACACTCTTTTAAAAAAACATTTGTCGAAAAACATGAAGAAATTTCGAGACATGTTATGCTGAAATGTTGAAATCCATAACTCACAAACCTCCTTTGTGAATGACTTCGCGGCTATTCTCAGTACATCCGGGGCAACCTTTGGAACACGTTCCACATATTCACCGACGAGCAAAATGATACTGGCACGAGCCATGGGAACCTGCGTGGAACATGGGGAGTAATGTCTTGAAGATTGGGAATAATGCTTGGAAGATAGAGAGTAAAGCTTGGAAGATAGGGAGTAATGCCTGGAAGATAGAGATTAAAGCTTGGAAGATAAGGAGTAATGCTTGGAAGATAGGGAATAATGCTGGAAGATAGAGAGTTATGCTTGGAAGATCGAGAGTAATGCTTGGACGATACAGAGTAATGCTTGGAAGATTGGGAATAATGCTTGGAAGATAGAGAGTAAAGCTTGGAAGATAGGGAGTAATGCTTGGAAGATAGAGAGTAAAGCTTGAAAGATAAGGAGTAATGCTTGGAAGATAGGGAATAATGCTGGAAGATAGAGAGTAATGCTTGGAAGATAGGGAGTAATGCTTGGAAGATTGGGAATATTGCTTGGAAGATTGGGAATAATGCTTGGAAGATAGGGAATAATGATTGGAACAAAGGGAGTTATGCAAATTATAAAGATTACATACCGTAATTTTATTCAGTATTTTCGTCATTTGTATGATTATTTGAGATTTATCTTTATGCTAAAAGAAATGAATAACAGCCATCCATCATAATACGTACGTTTATCGCAATCAAGATAAAGACAACGACAAAATTACCTTTAATTGTAATAATTTTTTTATCATTACAACGCTTTCAGCCACCACCGTTTCTAAAGTAAAGAAATTGACGTCTGACATGTATACATCAACTTCAACAAGATAAATTTTCATTCATTTGTAAGTCTAAATGAGGATCCAAGGATAGTGCAGAGTTTAAAAAAACACACTACATTTTGACTCGTAATTTCAATTAACCATAACATGTTTTGCACATTTATTTGATTACGGTATCAACTTCCGTTTCATTTTATTACTAGGCCTTTAATGACCGAGCGCGAGGTCTTTACGGAGAAATAACGGACCGAGGTCTTTTGTACAGACCGAGCCCGTAGGGCGAAGTTTGTACAAAAGACTGAGTTCGATATTTCAGTAAAGACGAGAAAAGGTTATTAAAGGATTATTATATGACATTATTTGACCTGAAACGAAGCTTGCTTTCTTTCTCGTCTTTGCTGTTTTTTACCCGTCGGCTTTCACTTTTCTAGTTTTCGTCCATAAAAAATAAATCGTTTCAAATTGTATCCTCTGGATAGTTTAACTGTTTTCCAAGTGTTTTTCCTTCGTTTTCCAAGTGTTTTTCCTTCGTTTATTTTGCTTTACGAAGTTTGTTTACACTTGACTGTAAAATTACGCGTTTTTGGACCGTGGTCCATTACAGGAAAATAATGGACCGGCAAAAATGTTTCTGAGCCAATCAAAGCGCGCCATTTTGCCCATACAACAATGCTTTTAATAATAATAACGTTATTATGCATTGTTGGAGATTTGCATCCGTAAAATTCATTATGAAATCAGCAAGCCCATTGCCAAACGTAAAAATAGTGTAAAAAACACTTGGTATAAAATGAAAAAAAGCGAAAAATCCAAGTTTTAAAGATCTCGCGTTGGCCTGCGCGTACATTACAATACCAATTTTGCTTCAGGGTGATTATAGTTTTTGTGAACAAGGCCTGCTTTGAAGGATATTTAACAGCAATTCCCAAGATCGGTTAAAAAGGTATCTGTAACTTACTATTCCTATTGCATAGATAGCAGTTAACCAGACCAGTTAAACAGGTATTGTTATAACTTATCCTTCCTATTGGATAGCAATCTAACTCGACCGGTTAAGCAGGTATCTGCAACTTACCATTCCTATTGGATAGCAGTCTAACTAGACCGGTTAAACAGGTATCTGTAACTTCGGGAATGTTCGATGCACAACGGCCAATGGCTTGTATCGTCGACGCAACGAACTCTTTGTCCGAATTGTTAACGTAATTCTGGTAACGAGAACGATGAGATGTAAAAAAGGCCAAAATGGGGCAACAATGTATGAAGAGGATAAAAGTATATATGATAAGGGTAACTAGGAAGTTTTGTTTATTTGATCTTCCGTAATTACAGTGCTCGATGCGTTACAGCGGAGCATAATTATATTGTTAAGAAGAAAATTCACAAAACTACAATTTCATCTCGACAAGCCTGTTTCGTGATTTCTCACTCTTCAGGGGATAATAATAAATGAATACAAATGCATGTGTCTAACTATATATACTAGAGGAAGTAAGGGCAAAAATTAAGGTAGAACTACATACAAGCTAGGTGTACGATTACAAATTATATTAAAGTGCCTTTAGTCTATGGCGATAAGAGGAGACAAGTTCGTTAGGTTTGTTGAGAGATGATAGTTGTGGTTGGTAGGTGATGAAGAATATTTCTTTCAGGCATAGGTTGCATCTTTTGTTGGCGCTGTTGTACGGTTTGCTGTGAGTAATGATGTTCCATGAGATATCGTGAGCGATGTTGTTGTCTTTAAGTGTCCATATGTGTTTACTGAGTTTGGTTAAGTTTCTTAGTTTTTTGTGTTGGAAAGAGGCAGTGGGGTTCCTGTGTCGAGTTTTAAATTCCTTTCCGATGTAGGTCTCAGTTGTGTTAGTGTCCAAACGTTTAACAGTTGCTTGGTAGACGACAGATGATTGTAGGCAGTTTCCGTTAAGTGGGCAGTTTTGTTTCTGTCGGCAGTTGCATATTTTAGTTTTTGTTTTTTTGTCATTGATGGTGTCGTTAGTACTGTCAGGTGCTCTCACCTGATAAGGGTAACTATGTATTTTGAAGGATAAAGGGCAGCTATGTATGTTCGTGCAATTAAGGGTAACTGTGTGCGAAGAGATTAACCACTATATATGATGAGGATCAATTTTTAAAGAGAGGAAAAGTTTTTAAGGTAAAGGAACTCTGTGGGAGGTGACGCAGAAACAAGAGGTTATTGACGAACAAATATTGTAGCTCTTCAAACTATAACTGCAACTATACAAAGTAATGTTCAGAAAATACACAAATATCTTCAATATGACAGACAATTTTTTATCTCGATGAAGAATATTTAAAATTTCAAAATGGGCAATTTCTTGAAACATCTCAACAAAAAAATATTACCTGAAATTCCCGCAATAGCAACGTTATATTACTTTCCGAAGCGATGTTCGTCATTATTTCAAGCTAAAAAAATACAAAATACCGTTGAATCTTCAAGATTATTCTCATGTTAAACACAGATACACGTGTATATTACATAAATTTTTTATCGTCTACAACAACTGTCATGGACTCTCTTTTTAACATAAATGTCTGCATGCTTAGTTTTGGATTCATTGAAGTTTTTGTGGTAGATAAATAAGGGAATGTACGTTCAATCGTTTCCTAATGAGAATAATTCGTAACTTCCATTTATTTTCACTAAAAATAAAAACTTTCTTTTAGGGGCTATTTACATGAGCCCTACAGGGAAGGTTGGCTCTTCCAAGCGAGATCTCGCGTGCAGTTAAATTTCCACATTAAATCACTCTTCGTTTACATGAGAAAAAGGCCAGCCTTAACAGCCGAGATCTTGCTATTGTTTACACAAAATCTCGCTATGTAGGACTGAGAATGTCCAATCTAAACGCATTTTGCAGGGCTAGACTTCCTGTAGGGCTGAAAATTCAAAGGATTTTCATGCCTGCGATAAGGCATCGCTTTTCAGCAATGGCGCAAGAAAAGACATCTACGGCAGCAAACAAACTTAGAAAGCGTAAAAAATCAAAAGTCGACAACTATATTGGTTTATTTTCAGCTATTTTGTATTTTAGCGCCGAAATTCGCAGTTCATACCGAGCTCTTGATGTATGGCTAGAATTTGCATGTAAAAGAAAGGTAGAATACAGCCCTACAAAGAAGGTTAGCCCTTTCCGTAGGCTCATGTAAACAGCCCCTAAGTAGGTGACCACTTTACTAAACAATACAATAGTTTTAACACAGTACAAGCAGGTTTGCGGTACAACAACGAAATAAAACATGATTCAAAAAAAGTAAATCAGAAAACGTCCAAACATAAATTCTTCAATGTGTGTACATATCGCCAAAACTTTAATAACTCCACAAGTAAGCATGTCAAGATTAGCGTTAAAAACAAAGACAAATGCGGAAGATTGATTGTTCAAAGACAAGAAAAATCGTGTCAAGGGCACTTAAGCAGATCAAGTTAATGTACATCAGAGTCAGAAGTAAAATACATAAAGTCTGATATAGACATATAGTCAATCGTCACCTGCTTACCTTAAATGTTTTGATATATTTTGAGTCGTTGGAATGAACGAAGAAACTTTTCAGATGCGCTTCAAACATTCCCTAGAAGATTTACAAATAAGGAATTTGCTTTAAACGACAGAAATTAAAACAATTTAGGCACATGCAACCAATGCAACGAAAGACTTGTAAATCAAATGAAAATCACATTCCTTGTCGATGATAATGTTGCTATATTGCTAAGAACGACATATTGAACTTCTCTAAAGAAAAAAACCCAACCAGTATCATCAAAGAGGTCAGTGCCAAGTATTATTGATGACCAACGGAAATCTGAAAGAACTGTTTTTGTTCACTTATTGTGTAACTACATATTTTAATTATAACAGATAAGTGCAAAACCGAGATCGAAAAACGAGAGTTTTCTCCAGCTCAAGAGTTCTCACTACCCCTCAACGGTTTGCGTAAGCCAGTGCAAACACGTAAAACATCGTTTATTTCTTTTATAAAAAAACAATAATGCGAAAAAGACAAATTTGAAACAAACGCTTTGACCTTTCCTCTAACACGTATTATGATTGATTTGTAAATTTTCTTTGATGCATTTAGTTGATTAAGCTCAGATCGGTTTGCATAGGCAAATGGAAATTCACTTCTACACCAATCAGCGTACGCGTTTTATTGTATTTATTCCATAATGATTAATATGAGAGCTACGTGATTGTGAAAGTTTGAGAATGTTTGAATTTAAATGTAGAATATCACTGGTCGACAAAGATGCGTGGCAAGATCAACAAAAACGATGCGCATTGCATATTTGGTCAGGATACTTAGATCGGCGAAAAATAATAATTAGCTCGAGCATTGCAAAAGAAATAAACTTGAGTTTGTTGAAATAAGTCATTGATTTGAGGAGTAACTTACGAAGACTGGAAACAAGTTAGCTATCTCTACGGACTTACGTAAAAGAATGCGTGTCAACATATTGTTGGTCAATCAAAGTCTGGCAGCCATTTTCTGGGTCAAGAAAATGGAGGATTTTGTTATTGTACAAATGCTACTTAGAACACACGATAATACGTAATTACTGTAACTAGAGTTTTTAAGTAAATTTGAAAACTTGTGATATGAAATGGCGTCTTTGCCTACGTGTTCACAGCCAAAATTTGATGTTCAATAACATCGAATTCGTTTACGGATGAACGTATGTATACAAAGAGTGGTTAAAACAAAAAAAACTTCGCTAGATGGGCAGAACAGACGCACAGTGAATTTGCTTCTCCTTTACATGAAATCTTGGATGAAAAGAAACTGTAGTTTGTCCTACACCAATAATATCAGTGGCGGATTACTAATTATGGGGCCTGTAGGCTACGAAAAAGCTGTGGGTCTTTAAGTAATATTTGTTCCTCCAAATAAGTTCAGTATTTTAATGACGTTTGCGTTTTTTGCGTGCCATTGCTTTTGCATTTCCTGTCTTCTTTTTGTAACTCATATAGTGTAAACATTAAGGAACAAATTTAAAATTCAAACTGAGTAAGTCCCCTGCACTTTATGAGTTTTGTGCATTAAGCATTAAAACAGTAGATCGTAAAGTTTCCAGCAGCATATATGGTCGAACTTTAGAACAAAAAGGCGAAAGGTAAAATATGTCTAAATACAACGAGCGTCTTGAAAAGGCGGGCCTGTAGGCTTCAGCCTACTTAGCCTACTGCATTAGTAATACGTCACTGCGTGTATGCAGTCAAAATTCTTTTATTTCATTTTAGTATTTATTTGTTCAGTATAAAGCAAAATATGCGATGTTTACAAAGACGCTGAATTGTTTTGTAAAATGCTGTTGTAGATTGAATAAATGTATTTATCTACCACAAATTTGACAGGAAACTGATTACTTTTAAATATTTTGTTCACAGAAAGAACTCTGCAAAAATTAATTTTGAGATCATCATGTCGAACACATTTATTTATTTTATTTGTAAAGTAAATAAAGAGATGGAAAAGTTGCCGACCTGTACGTATTGTTGGAAATCAACAAAAATGCATTTCTCAGAATCATATAAACGCTCATAAAGCAATTTAGAACTAAATTATTTTTTACCTACTTTATAATGTTCGAAATACATAAAGGAGCCCCTATATTAAAAATCTCTACTTTTTGATACTGAAAACAACTTAGATTGGTCTTATTTTTGGGCAGCATTTCCATAAAAACAACATTTTTCTATCCAATATTCCATAGATCAGAGGATTTAACGCGTGTGAGCCGAAAAGACGGAGAACATAAACAACGTAAAGATTAGTGGATGAATTTGATGGAACAATGTTGTTTATATAGAGCACGTCTACAACCAAAAAACAAGCATGATCCACTGTGAAGCAGAGAACTCCGCTGACACAAACAATAAATGACTTACTATGCCGAGTATATCTTTAAAGACATGAGCTGGTGGAGGATTGTAGATGAGAATGTGTCGGATTGGAGAGTGTTCGTAGTGCTTTTTTTGGTTTAATAAAGGTGTGAGCGATTATTGAGTAAGTCACAGTCATGAAGATTATTAGTACGACAAAATTTGAACCATTTTTTAGCTGTTGACTGGTATTGCGTTTTTGTGCCACCACGCCATGAGTTTAGAATAATGTTTACTGTCTCCGAAGAAAACCTTTTTACTTGTAGTTTACCCTGGGTACAAGACAGTTGAGAATGTTCAGTTTCTTTGTGTTATGGGTGTTTGAGATTGGGTTAAATAGGAAGAATCAGTAAGTCGGTTTTCGATGGTAGACATCGTGGCGGTTTCTTTAATATTTGTACCAACAATGGCTACGAACACCGAGTTGGCCAGTCCAGAAAAAGTTTAAATTCCCCTGTCCTTTTCTTCCATTATCTATCGGAAAAATGGCATGTGAGTAAGGATCTGGTCTATAAGAAATGTAGCGACCAAATTGACGATTTAAGCGAGATGCAAACCGATCAATGTCAGGAAGGAAGGCAAAATGCGTCAGAGCTTGGGACATATACGTCAGATTAAGCCTCAATTCAGGGTCAACATTTTTACTATGCGATTCTTTATCGGCGATCACATTCTGCCTCTATGGTATAAACGCAGCCGTTAACCACATATTATTTTGTTCACATAATAACCAAGTGCTACCGGTGTGTGTGCCTTTATCAATCATAGCTTTTACAACTTTGTTAGCATGAAAATAATAAAAAATTTATAAACCAAAATAGGCAGCTAGAGTCATAGATAGTTCATATGCTTCGACTTTTCCTCGTTAGTCCAGAATCGAACAGTTCTTTGGTTGCACAATACACCACCCCAACCAGAAAGTGATGCATCTGAGTGAGCTACTACATCTATAGCTGGAGTATGAACGAAATTATTTGCATTTTGAGTTTAAAAGAGCACAAATTCGAGAAGTGATTTTGGAAATTTTTTCCGAAGTTGATTGCATTTTCATAGTTGTCGAGTCTAACTCAAATCCCAAAAACACAGTTTTATGTTGCAAGATAAAGGAAAATTTTTCTACGTGAATGACAAAACATAAACTTGAAAACAAGTCAATAGCCTCTATTTTCGTTGTAAAATAGCGAGGAAAGTTATTTACCTGTAAATCTATTGACGAGTATGTTTTCTGATTTGAGACGGAATGCTAGTTGAAATTTTTGTTACTGGAAAGAGAAGTGACCCCTTCCCCTTCTGGAGAAAACATTAGTTCGCTTCGTGGGTTGGTATGGCACGAAAGGTAGGCGTGATTTGAAATCGGAGGTTAGCATCTTGCCTTGCAATTTGGCATTAGTCATGGTTTTATTATGGTCATTAGCAAACAGAAATTCCACAGGTTTATTTGAGCGGTTACACATTGGATTTCATCCGCTACTAAGAAGCGAACGAATTGAATCTCGACGTTGGTACGAAAGTTCTAAGTTGATATGCCCTAATAAGGTAACGGCATCAAAGAGCCTAGTCGTAATGGCGCAAAAATCTGGGAAAGGATTCGTCTCTCTAAATTTTAATAAATTATCCACAGTAACTGAGAGTGAACTTGTCACACGCAAAATAGAATCTTGTAAAACTGCAGTGCGCAAATCTCGCTGAAGATGGAAAATTTGAGTTATCTTACACATCAACAGTAGAAATATTTTTGTTTTCGCGCAAAGTTTATAAAACACTAAGTAATTTAATGTTTCTGACATGGTATTTTTATTGTAGAGAACACACTAGTTAAAGAAGAGCTTTTAGTTGGAAACTCAATAAGTCGGGCGTCAAGTGTGACCTCGCAGTCAGACATCATTTTACTAAAAAATCAAAGCGTAAATACAACTAGACAAAAGAAACTTAGCTTTTTAAATTCCAAGGTAAGATAGATGTTTTAATCGAAAAAAGCTAAAATCCACGAGAAACGATAACCAACGCATGTTCACCGATTCACATGTACAGCACAACTGGTTAATTCATGTGCAGTGATCTCCTTCTACAACTATAGCTAATGACGTAATAGAATTATATTCTTTAGAAAGTCAAAACAGATAGCGTTTTTCTAAAGGTAATTTGAGTTTAAAATTGGCAGCTATAATTTATTTTGACGAACGCTGGATTAGCCATTGCAGCGTCGGTCCTAGATTGTAGCTAATATTTCTCTATTGAGTTTGATGCCAGTTTTTAATTGACCACATGAGCATTGATTGTGAGTTTTATCAATGGAAAGTGAAACACTTTCGTCATGAGTGTTTTCTTGGGCTGTTGCACTAATAAGATCTCTTTCACTAAGATTTCTTCCTTCTTCCATATGAGATATAGTATTATCAGATGCTACCTTAACCATTAAAACATCGCAAAACTGCTGCTTAATTCTGCTATTTTTTTTCCCAAAAGGGTAAGCTTTTTTCTTTTCTCCACCACATTATTTTCATATCGCCATTACTGTAAGATTTTCTCTCGTCTCTAGGATATTTCCATGTACCATTTAAGTCAATATATGCATTTAAAGAAAGAGTTTTAACAATTGAAAGTCTCTAGTCCAACACAGTTTCAAATTATTGATGAAATCATGCCGTTTATCGTTATTACCACATGTCGATCGTTTAAGATCTTTTTCTTTTTCAAGAAATTGAATATTTTGTCGAAAGGAGAGTTGGTTGAAGAGCTTAATATCTTACAACCCGGCGCGCCATGTTTGTGGTGAATACCATTGTGTGCCTTTTCAATATTTTTAATAACTTACATCATATTGTCGATTGAAATGTTTAAAAAACTCCATGGTTTTATTGAATTTGAGGTACGCAAAAAATTGGAACGATGACACCAAGGCCCACTTTACCCTTCTCAAATGGTTAATTAAGGTTCATTTTCATGAAGTTAGGTAGGACATATCACAACTAAAGATACAAAAGCGAATATAATGCTTATTGAATTCGCACATACAAAATAGCTCCGGGCGGTGAGTTAGGTAACCATCCTTAAAAATATTTAAATTTATAACATAATCCTTCATCGTGTAGTGCTCAATAAAAAGGCTAAGTCTACATTCAATCTTCATTCGTAAGCAAACTGTAGAGAAGTAAATAAGACTGGTCAGACAATTCACTATGAAGATTACTTATCTAGTTTTTGTTCTTGGTCTGCTTTGTACCGTTGCCTATGCAGCCACAATTCCCGACGAAGAAAAGCTCAATGATGGGACTTTAAACGGTATGAAAACGTTCTTCCTACATATTCATTTAGAAGACTTGAAGCTAGGTATTCCATGCTTTATCCGTCATGAAACGTTTCATGAAAGCAAGTTTTGTTTCGTCTAGAATCTGACGAAGAAACGTCCCCAGAAAAAAGCATGGAAAAGGAACTACAAGAAACTGTTGATGAAGATGACCTGTTGGAAGATGAGTGAGTAAGCTTTTGTAAGTGAGTAACCATGTTTTGAATTGGTAGTGAAGTGTCTTCTTATGTTTTCATTAGACTTACTATCAAAAAGCTTTGGTTTGTAAATTTTTGAAGGCAAACTCTTTAAATTAAACACCATAACAGAATCTTAAAATTGTCTTGCGAAAAAGAATAAACTTATTTTCTTGATAGAAAATGTAAACTTACGAAAAATATCTACACACGAAACTACCAGGGATAAGCTACAATTGTCGAAGTTAAACTTATTAAGCTCATCTCTTTAGCTCTCGCTATTTATTAACAAACGCACAGTAAATAACTTGCCAATATGATGGGAAAACCTTCTCTTCGTGCACACTGCTCAATCGGAAGTCTCTTGAACCTTTCAGTATTTCCAAAACGCCCTCACTTAGGTTGAATATTACTTGACTGTACTTGTGTACTCCAATTATACAAAATGAGAAACTTTAGCTACTTTTAAGATTTCTCACAGTATAAACGACAAAATTGGTGCCGTTTCGAGGGAAAAATATTCTTTACAATAAAAAATATCGCCAGCAGCTTGTCTTTCTAAAATAATTTTTTGACTTTTATCAGAAGCCGATGTTTTCAACAAATCGATCAACAAACCTAAGCTAGCATTGACGCTATATTTTTATTTCTTGACCAACGTTCGGCGTTGTTTTGATTGATTTCATCCAATAATATATTTTTCCCAAAAATAATCTCCCTATTACAAATAAAGATAAGCTTGAATGCAAATCGATTATTGTTAGTGATAGGAAGTATTTCAATACATTTCTGCTATCACATATTTAAACACGTATCATGTGCTAATATTTTTCGTCCTTTTGATGTCATGTAAGTGCAGTTGGATCTTTTTTGTAATTAATATACAACATAAAATTTATTACATTTTTCCCTTTCATTTAATTCACCGGCCGAGTAATGCGCCAAGAATGTACCAAACAACAATGCAAATAATGCAAAACAATGCAAATAAGTACTAAATTGGACCAAATAGAAGCACAGTACATTGTATTAAGTATACAAGTTTCTCGTATTGTTTGCCTAAAATGTTTTTGAACGTGTGCATAGGTCAATTGTGCCTGTTACAAGTAATTTACGTTTGAACACTAAACGCAAACGGATGCTTCACATATTAAAAGTAACAGTACTACAGCGTAACTATTACGTCAAAAAAACTACTGCACATTTTGGAATACATTGACAATTCCAAGACCTTTAGAGACAAGTTTATTGGTAAAATTATATCCTTTAGAAGTTTAAAACCAACATTGTTTTTCAGAAAGGAGCTAATTTAATTTTAAAACTGAACATTTATAATTTATATGGACGAACGCTGGATGCTTTACGGGTATTACGCCGCTGAGCAAGTATTGGTCCCTTTCACGTTAGCCATGACAAAGGTCTGAAACAAAGAGTATTTTTGAATGATAAATCCGAAAAGATTGACCGCATGCCTGGCAAAATTTTGATTTATGATAAATGCGAAAAGATTAGGTGCGAATCAAAAATTTAATTGTATTCACTGTCCAAAGTTTGACGTATATAATATGTTAAGGTTGATAATTATGACTGTAAGTATTACAAACCACACCGGCTAAGATTTGAATCACACGCGAAAACCACACGATTACTGTATTTGACGTAAATTGCTTAATAGCTATTTGCCACAACCAGTTTAGGCAGCACGATGACATTGATGGATTCGTTTAAGCAGAAAATCAGACCAATAATATCACTTGTACATATCTCGTGGTTACAAAACTTAAAAAGCAACAGGAAAATTTTGCTATTTGTTTTATAGTTTTGTGGAAGAGAACTCATCATAAAAGTAAACTTTCGAAAACAGTTAATTCATATCTACAGAAATGAACTTTTTGTAATCGCCAAAATACAAAACAAGTGACATCATTGCGCATTAAGTCACGGCAAATTTTCATATGTCCTCTTTCTTAAGTCCTGAAAACTTTTCGATGTAATAAGGCTCATGCCGGTCATAGTATTGATATATTGAAATATGTGCTATTTTTCAATGAAAAGGGGAGAAATAAAACTTAGAGCGGTCTAAATTCGTATCGCTTGTTGAGCCTAAACAACAAATCCGATTGGATTCAGAGCTGTACAAATTGAAAACCAGCATGAATATAAACTCAAATTAACATTCACACCGGTTTGAAAATGGCACAAGGCATGCACTTAAAGTACAAAAACAAATAAGCAATAAAATGTAAAAATTTCCTGCTAAAGGAGTGTTACACTGATAAGGATTTTTTATTATTTCGTGCCGGTTCCGTGTTGACATTCAAAAAATTCCGATTTTCATCTTGGTTTAACATCGTTCCGGTCTCATGTAAACAGGGCCTGGCTTACGAATAAAAAAAGATATGAATGAAGTGATTTCGAAAGTCCCGTGACATTTGAAGAGTTCTGCTCGATAAAAATAAAACTTTGATAGAAAACTTTCGTCTTACTACTTATTTCATCCACATCAACAATCATTAAAAACACTTTGTAGTACGTTGCCCTACTTAGTAAAGACGCAAAATTGACAGGCATTAAACATTGCGTTCTGTAGGGTCGACGAGGAAGCTAATCCAGATCTAGAAAAACGTTCACCTTATCGTTACCGTCGCAGGCGTTATTCCGGTCGCCGCCGTGTTTATTACGGTCGCCGCCGTCGTTATTACGGTCGTCGCCGAGGATATTACGGTCGCCGCCGTCGTTATTCCAGTCGTCGCCAAGGGTATTACGGTCTCCGCCGTCGTTATTTCGGTCGTCGCCGTCGTTACTCCAGTCGCAGATACAGCTACTAGTGATAGAGATTGAAGCCTTCAATAAGAAACATTTTTCATGTGGTTTTCCAACTAAATTGTAACTTGCCTTAATGTAGGAAAAACAATAAATGCTTGCAATGATCATTAAATGGATGTAAACGATGAATGACTGATGGATCATAATATCTGTGTAAAAATATAGTGACTTATTGAGCATAGCATTTGAGACTCTTATTTTATTTACATTGTGTAGCCTTGTGTGTTTGCAGGAAGTGAAACTGTACATTTACAATGCTTTATATACTAAGCTCTAAAGTACGATGCTTTTCTAAGATGAGACGGAGATGGCGCTAGTGTAAACATTAGAGAACACCTCAGGTCTTCTAACACAATTTTTTGAGAGTTTGGCATATATGTCTCGAAACCAAGCATAAATATACTATAAAACGTCCATTAATTCTCCAAGCAATATCTTCCAGAGCCCTCTATTAGTAGGTTAATAGAGGGCTCTGATATCTTCATGTTTGACGAAGCTTGCATGTAGTTATACTTCATGTACGCAATAGCATAATTAGCACAGTTTTTGATGGTTATAACACAGAATAATAAATATACAGAAAGGGTCAACGAAGTTTGAACCTCGTCCTTACTGCCGCCGTTATTTCGTTCTTCAATTGTTTCCTACCACTGCAATAACACGACGTCATTTCTTCGTAATGAAATCGGAACTAATTTAATATAAGATTAGACGTAGCGTCATTTTAATGGTTGAGAATGAGTGAAAAGAACTAAATATCATGCTAGAATAATGGCAACTAATATGCGCGGCACATAATGCATGAGGACAAAAACATTAAAGGTTCCAACACTAGTGAACCTTTGTTTAATGAACATATGCTACATCAACCAAATTTATTAAACATTACTCGAAACATGTTTGCAACTAAAACAATGAAAAAAATATTGAAACTAAAAACTTCTCTTTGTTTAAATTTAAATATGAATTGAAGCAATTATAAGCAAGCTCAATTACTATTATGATTACTACCAAGAAGCCTTAAAAGAAATACAATACTATAAAAATGAAATCCAATTTAATGGAAACAAATATTGCAATAATGCACGAAAAGACCTTGTGGGAAGAAACAAAATGTATCAAGGACGATGGTGCATGTTTCGAGCATGTGGACAAAAAACAGTCTTGAAAAACAGTCAGAGCAATGTAATTGGAGATGATGGTGGTTTTATTAACCACTGCCGATGCTACTAACAGTATTTTAACATTCTAGCAAAAACTATTTAGAAACTTGAGACTGTTCTGAAGCGAGTTTTCCCAACAGATAATGGACGCTATTTGCTATGCATTTGTTCATAACAAACTAGAACAGAAAAACAAAGAAACAACGACCATTGTCCAGTTACAAATAAAGGCATGTGAAGGAAAATATTTCAATGATGAGCATAAACAGCTTTTGGTTCTCTTTATGAAGAACTGCCACGAAACAATCTGTTATTACGTTTTCTAAATACACAGTAAAAACATTTCTTTGTGATGCTGAAATGTGGAAAAAATAAAGCAAAAAATCACTGCATTATACCAGATATCTAGATCCAGTCCTTTGGAGTGATAATGTAAAATACTCTCATGTTGATATGCAAATGTTAAATATGACTGACAACTATTAGAAGTGAAATATTTTGCAAAAAAGTCTACTTCCCATATAATTATTGTAAGTCCATCAATGACAAAGGTTTACAACTAAATGTGAATGCTGAAAGCTCCTTGCAATTGTTGTCATTTAAAATCGCCCAATAATCGGGAGCAGTTGTAAAAGTTGAATCCGTTTCAATTTTTAAAGCAATTACAACACTTGTCAACATAAAAAATTTGTATGGGATCGCTAATCAACGATGGCAAGTTATCTTTTCTTTCCATTTCTCACACAATTGCGCCAGATAAGAACACGCATTCTTTCATACAGAATCAAAAAATTTTGCCGAAAGTTTAGTAGTTTGAACATTTATAATCATGTATTGTCCGGTGTATGGCTGCAATAGCGATAGTAAAAAAGACAAAGAAAACGGAATACATTTCTTTTCATTTCCTAAGCCAAAAAACAAGGATGAAAGAAAAAGGCTAAATATTTGGATAGAATTCTGCAACCGTAAATGCTAAAACCTGATGCTGTGCCAACTGAAAATAAACCACTTAACAAGCAAGGAGATAACTCATCAGAAGCAAAGAAATCACCTGGTTCTCTTTCACGAAAAAAAGTGAGTACTTTATAATAATGTTTTTTCTTTATTACCTTAAAAAACAATAAGATACGAGCTTTTAATTTGATTTTGGTATTGTTTGAAAGAGGGAAACTGGTACATATTTTATGTGTTTTTTCCAGGAGGTTGAAAGTTTAATTTCTTACGCTGAATGTATGACCGAAACCGTAAACAATCAATCCTACAAAGAAGATATGTCGACTAATTGCAAAGGGGAAATTGGCACAACAGTATACACCCCCAAGATTCATATATGGGTGAACAAACAACAGAACACGACATTTCTTGGTCTACTGTGCCACTTTAAATCGTTTACCTGTTTTAAATCTGCTTTTCATTGTGCAAATCGACGTCGATTCGACATCGGCTTTCTCCACATTTCTTAATATAAATGTTATCGCCCGACATTAAACTTTCAATAAGGCCATAGATAGAAGATTTTATTAATAGTAACGCTTTGTCTTTAACTTAAGAAATATATCGTTATACATAGGAAGTTTGAAAATATGAATACTAATTTACGATATTCACAAAGTGTTAGGTTACAAAGTGTGATGATGATTGATGACAATGTGGTGAGATTTTGTGTGTTAAGCAATATAGTGGGTTTGAATGGAGAATCTCTGTAAATATCGATCGTAAATTTAGATAAATGTTTTCAAACTTCCTATGTAGAATGCATTTCAGTCAAATGATGTCTTACAATTAAAGACTAAATATTACTATTTATAAAACCTTCTATCCATGACCTTATGGAACGTTTTATGTTTGTAAACATAAGAAACGTTTTATTATGCTTCAGCCATGTTTAATTAATAAATAAAAGTACCTCAGGGGCTGTTTACATGAGCCCGGTAATCGGGATTAGACGAGGCGTGAGATGATTTTGAAGTCATTAAAAGAGCAAAAACTTCAAACGCAAAACTTACAACCATTTCTTAAGCGTCATAAGTCATTTTAGTTGTAATTTTTAAATCAGGCTAAATTCTTTGTTTGCATTTTAAAGGTTTTCTGAATTTGTAGATTCAGAGCATAGAGAAATTCCTCAACAAGTTTTTCGTTGTGAAATATTTAATCTTTTCCATTTGCTAAAATCATTAAACGCTTCGCTGAATCCCGGCTACCCGGGCTCATGTAATCAGACCATCGAAACTGAATTGCAATTCGGAAAGAAAAACTTCTAATTAATTAAGTTATACTAACTAATTTAAGTTATACGCCAGTCTGTTTGGCCGCCATGTTGGAGGTCAAATACAAAAGAATATATCCGTGGGCAAACGTTATTGTTTTTTACTGCCCCTTTGATTGATTGAAATTGAAACCAACAATTCTTGAGTTTTGATCCCGCCATGTTGGATCACAAAAATATATTTGATTATCAATATCTATTAGGACATATTAACAAACAAATTGGGACATTGGGACAATAGCATGAAAATATTGGCTGAACTCTAATTAGACATTCTTCCAGGGTTTTGCTGGACTTGGTCGTGGAACAGCATTAGTAGACGATCTACGTATCGCAAGCAAATGTATTTGCAGTGATTTTCGACACATGTCTGTATTTTAATAGCAAAAACTTGAGCATATGAATTTGCATTCACTAGGTCGCGTACGTACTTCTGTGATGCGTTACAAAAATAACAAGGAAACCAAATAAGAGATTTGCACATAGTGCTACAATTTGTTGCACAAGAAACGACAAAGAAAATAAAAGTTCGGTAATTTCAAGAAAAACAATAAATTTAGAACTTCAATACCAGTCACGTCAATAAGTGCATTAGTTAAACTAATGACTGCCGAATATAACCAATAGAAATACATGCATTCTGTAGACTGAACACTCATGTTGTGTTGTCTAACCAAAACCAAGAAATCCCTGGAAGAAATATTTCTAATAGTTCATGTCAGTCTAACTAGACCGGTTAAACAGGTATCTGTAACTTCGGGAATGTTCGATGCACAACGGCCAATGGCTTGTATCGTCGACGCAACGAACTCTTTGTCCGAATTGTTGATGTAATTCTGGTAACGAGAACGATGAGATGTAAAAAAGGCCAAAATGGGGCAACTACGTATGAAGAGGATAAAAGTATATATGATAAGGGTAACTAGTTTTGTTTACTTGATCTTCCGTAATTACAGTGCTCGATTCGTTACAGCGGAGCATAATTATATTGTTAAGAAGAAAATTCACAAAACTACAATTTCATCTCGACAAGCCTGTTTCGTGATTTCTCACTCTTCAGGGGATAATAATAAATGAATACAAATGCATGTGTCTAACTATATATAGGTAGAACTACATACAAGCTAGGTGTACGATTACAAATTACATTAAATTGCCTTGTGTCTATGGCGACAAGAGGAGACAAGTTCGTTACGTTTGTTGAGTGATGATAGTTGTGGTTGGTAGGGGATAAAGGATTTTTCTATCAGGCATAGGTTGCATCTTTTGTTGTCGCTGTTGTACGGTTTGCTGTGAGTAATGATGTTCCATGAGATATCGTGAGCGATGTTGTTGTCTTTAAGTGTCCACATGTGTTTACTGAGTTTGGTTAAGTTTCTTAGTTTTTTGTGGCGGAAAGAGGCAGTGGGGCTCCTGTGTCGAGTTTTAAGTTCCTTTTCTGTAAGTCCGATGTAGGTCTTAGTTGTGTTAGTGTCCAAACGTTTAACAGTTGCTTGGTAGATGACAGATGATTGTAGGCAGTTTCCGTCAAGTGGGCAGTTTTCTTTCTCTCGGCAGTTGCATGTTTTAGTTTTTGTTTTTTTGTCATTGATGGTGTCATTAGTACTGTCAGGTGCTCTCACCTGATAAGGGTAACTATGTATTTTGAAGGATAAAGGGCAGCTATGTATGTTCGTGCAATTAAGGGTAACTGTGTGCGAAGAGATTAACCACTATATATGATGAGGATCAATTTTTAAGGAGAGGAAAAGTTTTTAAGGTAAAGGAACTCTGTGGGAGGTGACGCAGAAACAAGAGGTTATTGACGAACAAATATTGTAGCTCTTCAAACTATAACTGCAACTATACAAAGTAATGTTCAGAAAATACACAAATATCTTCAATATGACAGACAAGTTTTCATCTCGATGAAGAATATTTAAAATTTCAAAATGGGCAATTTCTTTAAACATCTCAACAAAAAAATATTACCTGAAATTCCCGCAATAGCAACGTTATATTACTTTCCGAAGCGATGTTCGTCATTATTTCAAGCTAAAAAAATACAAAATACCGTTGAATCTTCAAGATAATTCTCATGTTAAACACAGATACACGTGTATATTACATGAATTTTTTATCGTCTACAACAACTGTCATGGACTTTTTAACATAAATGTCTGCATGCTTAGTTTTGGATTCATTGAAGTTTTTGTGGTAGATAAATAAGGGAATGTACGTTCAATCATTTCCGAATGAGAATAATTCGTAATGTCGTATGAATGTTTTATGAAGTGCGGTATTTGAAATTAAATCAAGATTTTGGATTCTCAATCACTCTGGACCTGAAAAAATTTTTCAGGTCCTGAGACGATTGCTTAAATTGTCCAGCAAAGTGCGAAGATCATATCTTGATTTAATAATTCGTAACTTCCATTTATTTTCACTAAAAATAAAAACTTTCTTTTAGGGGCTGTTTACATGAGCCCTACAGGGAAGGTTGGCTCTTCCAAGCGAGATCTCGCGTGCAGTTAAATTTCCACATAAAATCACTCTTCGTTTACATGAGAAAAAGGCCAGCCTTAACAGCCGAGATCTTGCTATTGTTTACACAAAATCTCGCTATGTAGGGCTGAGAATGTCCAATGTAAACGCATTCAGCAGGGCTAGACTTCCTGTAGGGCTGAAAATTCAAAGGATTTTCATGCCTGCGATAAGGCATCGCTTTTCAGCAATGGCGACAAGAAAAGACATCTACGGCAGCAAACAAACTTAGAAAGCGTAAAAAATCAAAAGTCGACAACTACATACGTTTATTTTCAGCTATTTTGTATTTTAGCGCCGAAATTCGCAGTTCATACCGAGCTCTTGATGTATGGCTAGAATTTGCATGTAAAAGAAAGGTAGAACATTCCCTAAGTAGGTGATCATTTTACTAAACAATACAATTGTTTTAACACAGTACAAGCAGGTTTGCGGTACAACGAAATAAAACATGATTCAAAAAAAGTAAATCAGAAAACGGCCAAACATAAATTCTTCAATGTGTGTACATATCGCCAAAACTTTAATAACTCCACAAGTAAGCATGTTAAGATTAGCGTTAAAAACAAAGTCAAATGCGGAAGATTGGTTGTTCAAAGACAATAAAAATCGTGTCAAGGGCACTTAAGCAGATCAAGTTAATGTACATCAGAGATCAGAAGTAAAATACATAAAGTCTGATATACACATATAGTCAATCGTCACCTGCTTACCTTAAATGTTTTGATATATTTTGAGACGTTGGAATGAACGAAGAAACTTTTAAGATGCGCTTCAAACATTCCCTAGAAGATTTATAAATAAGGAAATTGCTTTAAACGACAGAAATTAAACCAATTGAGGCACATGCAACCAATGCAACGAAAGACGAGGAAATCAAATGAAAATCACCTTCCTTGTCGATGATAATGTTGCTATATTATTATTGCTAAGAACGACATATTGAACTTCTCTAAAGAAAAAAAACATCCAGTCTCATCAAAGAGGTCAGTGCCAAGTATTATTGATGACCAACGAAATCTGAGATAACTGTTTTTGTTGAATTATTGTGTAACTATACATTTGAATTAAAAAATAAAAGATGTTTACTGTGTTTGCACTAGCTTATATGCAAACCAAGGAGACCTTTGGGAGAACTTGAAAATAGATCAGTGCAAAACAGAGATCGAAAGTCGAGAGTTTTCTCCAGCTCGAGAATTCTCACTACCCCTCAAAGGTTTACGTAAGCCAGTGCAAACACGTAAAACATCGTTTATTTCTTTTATAAAATAACAATAATGCGAAAAAGACAAATTTGAAACAAACGCTTTGACCTTTCCTCAAACATGTATTATGATTGATTTGTAAATTTCCTTTGATGCATTTAGTGGAATTAGCTCAGTTCGGTTTGCATAGGCAAATGGAAATTCACTTCTACACCAATCAGCGTACGCGTTTTATTGTATTTATTCTATAATGATTAATATGAGAGCTACGTGATTGTGAAAGTTTGAGAATGTTTGAATTTAAATGTAGAAGATTTTTCTACATTTTTTAGAGGTCGACAAAGATGCGTGGCAAGATCAACAAAAACGATGCGCATTGCATATTTGGTCAGGATACTTAGATCGGCGAAAAATAATAATCAGCTTGAGCATTGCAAAAGAAATAAACTTGAGTTTGTTGAAATAAGTCATTGATTTGAGGAGTAACTTACGAAGACTGGAAACTAGTTAGCTATCTCTACGGAATTACGTAAAAGAATGCGTGTCAACATATTGTGCGTCAATCAAAGTCTGGCAGCCATTTTTTCGGTCAAGAAAATGGAGGATTTTGTTATTGTACAAATGCTACTTAGAACAAACGATAATACGTAATTACTGTAAACTAGAGTTTTTAAGTAAATTTGAAAACTTGTGATATGAAATGGCGTCTTTGCCTACGTGTGGACGGCCAAAATTTGATGTTCAATAACATCGAATTCGTTTACGGATGGACGTATGTATACAAAGAGTGGTTAAAACAAAAAAAACTTTGCTAGATGGGCAGAACAGACGCACAGTGAATTTGCTTCTCCTTTACATGAAATCTTGGATGAAAAGAAACGTGTAGTTTGTCCTACACCAATAATATCAGTGGCGGATAAATAATTACGGGGCCTGTAGGCTACGACAAAGCTGTGGGTTTTAAGTGATATTTGTTCCTCCAAATAAGTTCAGTGTTTTGATGACGTTTGTGTTTTTTGCGTTCCATTGCTTTTGCAATTTCTGTCTTCTTTTTGTAACTCATATAGTGTAAACATTAAGGAACAAATTTAAAATTCAAACTGAGTAAGTCCTCTGCACTTTATGAGTTTTGTGCATTAAGCATTAAAACAGTAGATCGTAAAGTTTCCAGCAGCATATATGGTCGAACTTTAGAACAAAAGGTGAAAGGTAAAATATGTCTAAATACAACGAGCGTCTTGAAAGGCGGGCCTGTAGGCTTCAGCCTACTTAGCCTACTGCAATTGTAAAACGCCACTGCATGTATGCAGTCAAAATTCTTTATCTCATTTTAGTATTTATTTGTTCAGTATAAAGCAAAATATGCGATGTTTACAAAGACGTTGAATTGTTTTGTAAAATGCTGTTGTAGATTGAATAAATGTATTTATCTACCACAAATTTGACAGGAAACTGATAACTTTTAAATATTTTGTTCACAGAAAGAACTCTGCAAAATTAATTTTGAGATCATCATGTCGAACACATTTATTTATTTTATTTGTAAAGTAAATAAAGAGATGGAAAACATGCCGACCTGATTTACAATACTATTATGAAATTATGTATTATTGGAAATCAACAGAAATGCATTTCTTAGAATCATATAAACGCTCACAAAGCAATTCACAACTAAATTATATTCTAGCTGCTCTATAATGTTCGAAATACATAAAGGAGCCCTATATTACAAATCTCTACTTTTCATAATGAAAACAACTTAGATTGGTCTTATTTTTGGGCAGCATTTCCATAAAAACAGCATTTTTCTATCCAATATTCCATAGATCAGAGGATTTAACGCGTGTGAGCCAAAAAGACGGAGAACATAAACAACGTAAAGATTAGTGGATGAATTTGATGGAACAGTGTTGTTTATATAGAGCACGTCTACAACCAAAAAAGAAGCGTGACCCACTGTGAAGCAGAGAACTGTGCTGACACAAACAATAAATGTCTTACTATGCCGAGTATATCTTCGAAGTCTTGAGCTGATGGAGGATTGCAGATGAGAATGTGTCGGATTGGAGAGTGTTCGTAGTGCTTTTCTTTGTTTAATCAATGCTTGAGTGATTATGGAGTAAGTCACGGTAATAAAGGTTATTAGGAAAATGTAGAAACATGAATAAAACGCAAACAATTCGTAAATAAAATAACGAGCTTGAGGATCCACAATGCACTCTTGAAATGTCATTTCAACTGTCGTAATCAAACCAATGATGTACGCTAAACCACAAACGTTTTTATCTTTTGCCGACTGAAGGAAAGTTTTAATGGATGAACTATTTCATGATATCGTAGAACTGAAATGATTAACATCATAGATACTCCACTTACTTAAAAAGTATCTATGCTACTTATATATGAGCAGTTTAACAAAATTGGATTGCTTTTCGAATGGTGTTCAAAGATTTTAAAGAGAAATAACGCAATAGTATAAATGCGTCACATATTGGGAGATGTAAGAAAAGAAAATAGTAGTTCTTCTTTAACAGAATCTTTTGTTTTAATATTGTAACGATCACAAGAGTATTTCCAAAAATACCAAGTATGCATATTGCAATACTCAACACAAAGAAAATTTCCATGATAAAAATATGATGGATTATTAAATTACTATACGTTTTGAAATGGTCTGTATATTACTGCATTTCAATTTCTAAATACCAAAAATAATTTGGTTTTTCGTTGCTCTGTATGTGAAATACTCAACAAATGTGTTATATAACCTGCTCTGCCTTCTATGTTAGCTATACTGACCAATCAGAATTCATGAAAGTTTATAATGTGTAATTACATAACCAAACATCAATATAACTTAATGCTTCTTATAAGATTTAATTTTGAAATATTATTACAGTTAAATAAAAGTAAACCCAAGTAACGTCTCATCACAGCTGCAAATGTGAATAGGCACGTTCCCTAAGACAAAGCGCATTCAAAAGTATCCAAATTTACCATATTTTATTCGACGAAAAGCCATATTGAACAATAAATTTTGACTATTTTACGCGAAATCATTACATTAAATTCTATAAAATATCAATAACCTCAATGATCAAATGCTTGTCAATATTTAAGGTCATGGAAACAAGCATAAACTGACGGAAACGAAAAATGACGTTTTTACGAGAATTTCTAGCTTTTTCATTTTTTCTATATTTCACTTTCCAAATGCCATGAAAAACGGTTCATTAGTTTTTAAGTTGTTCAAATGAATTGTTTTGAAATATAGCAGTAGAAGTTTACGCATCGGCTCTTTCTCATTAGTTATAACTTATTGTTTTAAACACACCAAATACACTCGCTCATGTTTCACTTTCCTAGACACCGCCAACACTCAATTTTCTCTAAAACTTAATGAAGCCTTACACATACGCCAAACAAAGCCGATCTTAACGAACAAATTAAACGTTTTAACACTATTTTCTAGTTATCAGTATTCTAACCTGTCTCTATCACACTCATATCTACCTTTTTCTACCTTTACGTAAACCTTTATATTTATCTTTTTTGCGACATTATTGTTAACCTCTTTTATATTTTATACAAGATATTTCAAACAGTGGTCATTTTATAGGAGACAAGCATTGTTTTCAAAAGTGGAAAAGACACTAATTTATTTTAATTTGCTTTTTTCTGAATGCGAAGCCATTTTAGGTTCTATTTATTAATAATTTACTTATATCTTTCTATCTTTACATTTCTCTCTCGAATCTATAAAAGAACATGCATCGACAGTTTTCCAGCATTCCACAGAAGAAAAGATTGAAAAATAGTATCATAATGAAGAAAACTTTTATTATTTACTAGAAAAATGACGACGAGTGTCATTATTTATTTGGGTTCTAGTGTGCACGAATATATTGCTTAACATATTTTGAGTTATTTTGGTTAGTTTCCGTGTTCGTTATTCAAAGCAATTAAATTTTTAAAGTACGCTTCAGAGGTATCCTTTTCTTAATTCTATATTTAAATTTGTAAAAGGCTTAATTCTTGTTTCAAGACATTAAATTTTTAAACATCTCCACTACTAGATTAGAACAGGAAATATACAAGTGATTAAAAATATTTTGCTGTCTAAATTTGCTAAAATCTTCTTGTACAACACTTCCAAAAGTACAGCATTTGTCTGTCAAATATTCCATAGATTAATGGATTGAGCGTGCGACCCCAGACTTCTAACACAATAACCAACATATACATGTATCACGTTAGTTTCTCCACTATAGTACTGCTGCAACAAAGCTGTGATATAATAAATATTACCAACTGAAAAAAAAAGAACCGTTAGTGCACAAACAAAAAATCTTTTCAAACTTCGAATATATCTTCGAAGACTTGAGCTAGTGGAGGATTGTACATGAGAATGTGTCGGATTCGAGAGTGTTCGTAGCTTTTCTTTGTTTCATCAATGCTCGAGCGATTATGGAGTAAGTCACAATCATGAAGATTACTGGGAAAATGAAAACACATAAATATTGCGCAAACAGT